GGTGTTTCATTTTTCCGAGTGGCTCAGTATGACAGCTCTTTACCAAACATGCCTAGAAGGTGCTCCAAAGAAGAGCAGTAGCATGCTGCATTAACTTTTCTGCAATAATTCTGGCCATAAATACTTGCCAAAGATGTAGGACAGTGATTCAAACCCCACCCCTGTGTGGCAAGGCTCTACTGCATTTTTCTTCTAATCCCCAGGAGCGTTACTACCGTCAAACCTTGGGTCAGTGCAGCTCTATCCCAACAAGCTGTGTGCAGTCCTGTTTCTGCAGGTAGTGTCCGGCAGCGAGCGTGGTGCCACTTCCACTGCCAGCAGCCCCCCCAAGCTGGGTTGGGCAGCACCAGTGAGGAGGGAAGGTGTCTGACAGGACATGCGCTTCACAGCAGATAAGGTGTCTTGGGATACCAGCTGGATCACGTGCAACCAGGTTATTTAAGGGGGGAGGTAACTCCTGATGAGGCTCTTCTGCTTTATTAAGTTGAAGTGAGCAAGGTATTTTAGTCCAGTGAATTGGGTAATACCTGGATGCCACATCCTACCACAGAGACGCTTCTCCCAGGTTTTGCATTTGAGAAAAATATGAAAAAGCTGCATAACGCAGCATTCTCCAGCATTGCATCTAAACACATTTGTAGTTCCAGCTTTTTTCACTTAATGTATGTGGCCCAAGGCCATAATAATAACAACAAAATGAAATGAGATAGCCTGTTTATGTAAATGTAAGCCATGATAATATCAGGAATGGGTACTCTGGCAGTACTTTCTCTTTTGTCTCCTTGGCCAGCAACAGCAACTAAGTTAGTTAGGCTTGCGTTTTGTTTTGTGGTTTGGGGTTTTTGTTTGTTTGTTTGTTTTTTCTGAAAGAGATGGGAAGAAAAGCTCCAGCAATGCCAAGAAATATGCTGTGTATTCAGAATTAGGTTGCAAAATATGATTTAGCTTATGTGATGGATAAGCAAGAATCAATCACTTAGCTGGGTAAGGCTTTCATTCCGTTTAAGTTAGAGAAGAAATACCCACTAGTTTCATTATGAATTTTGAAAGTGCAGTTCTGTCCTTTTCAGCATTGTCCCATCACAACTGCATGCAGGCTTACAAGTATTTTGACTTAAGAGTCTCACATTTCATCACTAAAGTTATTTTTATAAAACTTGTATTAACAGCATTTAATAACGTGACATGAGTGAGGAACGGCAGTAAAGTATTTCAAATACTTTTTGATTTAAACAGATTCCCATCTCTAAACACTGGTTCAGTGTTTGAATTTTCCATATTCATATTTCATGCAGGTCAAATAAAAGTGACTAAAGTGTTTAACAAAAAAAGTTTATTACCAAAATACAATATTAAAGTCAATACGTGACAAGCTCCTGTAAAGCAAAATAAATTATTCTAACATTGTACAGTATTTCAGAAGGTAGTTAGAGTAGTACTACAGACTTTGCTTCATAGTTCCAAACAGATGTCTATCAGGAACACAATCCTAGAGAGAGCTTAAGGCATGCAGCTTAATGTGCTGGATAATTTTATAAAATGAAAGTCATCCTATTTAATAAGATACAGTATCAGAATTAACTGCAGTCTTTACATGTCAGTTTTCTAAATTTTTATACTTTGGCTATAAAAGCAGTGCCATAGTGTTACAATACCTTTTCTTAAAAAAATACATGTACCCATGTCCATGAATATCAAATGCAAATGTAAATTTCTATTAAATATATCTTAACAAATGTTACTTTGAGCACCAACTGTACATTTTTTTAAATGATTAAATAAGTGCTTCTGAAAGAGGAAAATACAGTAACTCTGAATGAATCCCACTCTCTTTTTCCAGGCCAAGCATAAATCAGAAAGATGAAATACGCACCTATTTTTCAGTGTAGTCTAGTATGAATGTTTTCTCTTTAGTAGAAGTATAGGCATTTAAAACAAAGCTGCAAGTTACAGTTCATATCAAGAATAAAATCTAATTTAAATGAACAGTAAGTGAAGAGCTGATCATCTGATAGTGCTGTGACAGAAGATCCGAAAATGTTTTAAAAGCTTAAAGAAAGGGGAAGACAGCTGTGTTGGGTGACTTTGAAATGTGCTTAAAAACCGATACATAACATGCAACCAAGCCAACCATACACTTTCCAAAGAAGATAACCTGAGGAATAATTCTCTTTCAGCAAAACTAAGTCTGTAATTAATTCACATGCAGAACTTCTGATAAAGTCCATAGGAATTGGGAGTGGGTAACTAATGGCAAGCAGCATGGAAACAGTTAAAAAAATAAATCTCTGTGCATATGGGAAAGAATTATATGTTGGCATTTGTAAGGGTTGACAATGGGTTTAAGAGGCAACTGACTTTCTACTATTTTATAGGACCACATGATCAAAAAGAAAAAAGCAACAAGATGGCAAGGAACAACTGTGAATAAATGCATCCTGCTTAGTAATCCCATTACAGTGAGTCCTGGTGCATTGTACTTAATGCTGCAAGCGTGGCTTGCACATACACCAACATTGTGAAGTTTTATTCAAGCTTACTTGCTTTTTAAGTCTTGGTTCACTCCCATCTCCTTCTTAGCTTATGAATGCACGTTTTTCACCTTTTTATCTTTCACTAGATGAGCAACTTTACAGTAAGTGTACCTCTAGAAAAATAACAATGTGGCAAAATACTGTTTCTGTGAGTACTGACTGGTCGTTCAGCATTACTGCCGATCTCTTTGAACCTTTAATTTTTTCAACAGATGGGATCTCTGATGCAGAAAGTTGAGATATATTCCAGTTAATGTACTATTTTCACATGAATTCTATATTAAAGGTAAAATATTGGTGTCAATAAAACAGTATGACTATCCCATTAAAAGTTTACTATCTCTAATTGAATTTGAGAGAATGTAAATAAATTATGTTTTTTAAATGTAAAATCCATCTGTAGGAATACGAAAAATAATTTTTAACCAAAAATAATGTATACTTACTACACACAGGTATTTAAAATATCTCAAATATCTGACATTATATCCTAACCAATTTTTAAAGTCAAATGTTTACTTTCTGCTATCTCATTTATAAACAAAACAATAGATATTTAACCCAACAGAACACGTCAAATTGAGGAAATCACTTGAAAACAAAAATCATCTAATGTAATCTAATCTTAGTGCCTTTACCCTGGCCTTTAGATTTTGTGCTGCTTCATAAAGTTGTTAACAAGTTGCTGTTTTCTTTTCTTGTTTGCCATTTCTAGTCAGCGATAGCGCAGTAGACTGTACACTACAGACTTACAGTTGTAGCTTATTTCTGCTAGCAGAAATGTTTAAATAGGAAGTAGCAATAAAATACTATTTTTTCTAAGAGTAAGTAATTTTTAAAGTAATGAGCTACTAAAAATCAGCTAACTGCATCCGCACGTCAGGAACTAGGCATGCTTCTGCGCATCCGCCTTTCATTGAAAGCAAAAATACATGCCCAAACTAGAAAGTTTAAATCTGGCTGCTAAAGGGCTTCTTTGGAAGTGCCACTACTTCACTTGATTGGAGCATAGATTTCAAACAATTTAAGTAGCCAACTTTATAAATAACCTCAACAAAGTTGCCAGGTAATAAGCCAGTAAGAGATTTCAAACTGATACACAGATGAAGAACTGCTACTGCAAACTGCTGTTAACTGTAAATAAAAACCAACAAACAAAAAAACAAACCTCCACTGTAATTTTAGAAGCTAAAAGCTTTAAATGGAGAGAGATTTCTACGTGTTTCTTAGAATACAAAGTAATCCCTAATTCCCTTTATGAATCCATGTTATATGCACTCGTAAAATTTATTCTACAAGTGACTGGATACAGTTTTTGCTTAAAATACTGTTTGCCTTTTGTTTAAAAATATTATTTTCTACAGGAAGATTACTCTATCTTTCAGTGAATTATTTCTACAGTTACAGCTCTGCCAGACAAATGGGAAATTCAGACAGCCAGTGGGATTTTCAAAGAACTCCAAGTCTTGAAGCTTGTAGGCATTTTTGAAAATCCCATTTTGTGCTCACACCTTTAGGAATCTACTTAAGTTTAAATCTACATCTCTTTGTGGCAATTACTGTTGGTATCTTGTTCTCATTAAAAAACATTGCTCATACATACTGCAAAGTAATCACCACAAATTAAAAGTGACATATGAAAGCTTTCTTTTTTTTAAATAGTTCTGCTGAATGTGTCAGGAAAACCATTAAGAAACAGCAGGTCATTATTATAAAGGATCTTTTACACACTATCAATTCAAAAGATAGCAGGTTTTTTAGTTAGGATCCAATAAGACAAATAGTTATTAGCAAAATGCTTCTAGGCTCCTCAGCTCCTGCTGCTCTAAATTGACAGAAAGGAGAGCAGTCTTTGTTGAAGAATGACTTGGAGTTTGTAAGGCTCAAAAAATAGACTGGGAAAAATGAAATGCCTATGTGTGCATGCAAACACAGCCATGCCCTCACCCACCGCCCTACTCCCTACCTTCCAGAATGCAGGCAGTGGGGTTTATGAGATCACATTGTAAAATCTGTACCTGGTCTGTTGCCAGTTGCAAGAAAAAAAGGGGGTAGAAAAGTTTTTTGCTGAAATACTTGGAAATCAGCAAAGAGGGAAGAAGAAAAACACTTTAATTGATACAAAGCTTTCATACCGTTGGGTTTTAACATCCTGTACTAATGCATTATTACTGACTAGTACCTGACAATAAAAGAAAACAAAACACATCGATCCTAGATTCTTGGCACCATATAGAGAAATAACAGGTTAAAATGGATCCTTTTATTCCCAACTCCTTATATTCATCTCTTAAATGATTCATCGGTCCCCGATTAAAATGTTGTACTCCTACTGAAACAAGGACTCAGGATGGGAAATCAAGTTTTGTTTGCAATTCTTCTGTTTAGCAAGTTTCTCAAGCAAGAATTAGCAAAGAAAGAAAATACTCACTCTAGGAAACCCTCTCTTTTAACTTGCTTCTCCACCTAGTTGCTCTGAGTTGTGCTGTGGTCCTTATTGAGAATGATGTTTATGATTTCCCCCTCATGTTCTTTCATGTGATCCAGCAGATTTTCTTTGTTGGTAGACTCAAAACCGCAAATGCAGCAGCAGAAGAGAAGAACACAGTATTCTGTGCCAAGATGGGGTAGAGTGGAGTTCTTTTCTAAACTGCATGAGGTATTCATCAAGTTAGGTTTTTCATTTTCATCAGAACCTGAAATTTCATTTGTAGTCTGGTTAATAGACTCTGTAAAAGACACTAGGTTGTCTGAACTTCCTAGTATAGGTACTGTACTTTCATCTGCGCCTTCTAATAAGGTTCTGTCAGCAAGCTGTCCTTGAAACCTGAAATAATAATAAAAAACACAACAAATACATACAGTTGTTGCTTTTTGACAGGAACTTTATTTTGGATCAGAGTTGGGTCCTTTGAAAGTTCTAGATGATAGAGCTTGAAAGTAAATCAGACATACCTGCTGCTTTGTGAAATTGCATCATTAATAGCCTTGTTCACTTGCTCATAGTTATAATTTTGGTCACTTGCATGTTTCCACATGTGGGACTTGAGGGATGGTGGATGGCTGCATACATATCCACAGAGAGAACATCTAGGGGAAAAAAAGGTGGAGAAGGAAAAAGACAAATACTTAGAAGTTAATTTTTATTAGTCCAGTAATGGATTAGTTCTTCCAAAAGGATGACTGAACAGAAAGATACATGTCAATCTTCTGCTCAGTCCCCCTTTTCAGTTTCATAACTAGGTCAAGTTAGATTGCAAAGTTTCATTTTGAAATGTAAGACTATTTTTAAGGTCTGAGAATTTTTAAGTTTGCTTTTTCTGACTTCTTAAATAACTGAATTAAAATCTTATCTGTTTGGCCAGTTAAAACTGTTTAAATACTGCAAAACTGCAATAGTTCTGATGACTGCGGAAACGTAAACTACATCAGTGTCGTATCTGTCAGGCAGGCAATGACCTCTCTTTGCCATTGCTCTGAGCCAAACTGAAGCTGTGTGATTAGCACTTGTAATTTTGATTGAACTGATAAAGCCTTTCCTGATGTACCACACATTATTTTACTTAAGGATCACAGAACTGCTGAAGTTGGAAGGGACCTGTTGAGATCACCTAGTCCAATTCACCTGCTTAAGCACGATCAGCTACAGCAGGTCACCAAGGACAGCATCCAGTCAGATTTTGAATATATTCAGATTGATATTCAGACGAGTGACAATTTTGTCAAGAGAATTTTCTGACAGCTTGGGTACCACAAGACCAAATTTTCTATTTCCCTATGAAACACTGTCTTACACAGTAAAGGACAAAACCTTGAAGAAGAAATACTATTTACAGAGAGATGCAGTGTATATTTACGGACACATATAACCCAAGACTGATCAAATCCCATAGGACTTTTTCATACATGAACATACAACAGAGGAAGTTTTTTATGGCTGTTTTCTGAGATGCTAAATTAATCATCTCAGCATGGAGATGAGTGATACTGCAGAGCAGTACAGTACTCATGGTAAAGACAATGTAGCTCCTTGTCTTTTGGATGAGGAAGCTACTTTTGCTTAGCTACCTGCTACTTTGGAATTCTTCTAATTCTCAAATCACATGGCAAAGATCAGGATCAATTGAAGTTGACCTTGTTCTAATAAATTATAGCTAGGAATCCATCTTTATCTCATTCCTCAGTGAGAGTAAGATGTTTTCTGCTCCAAGCAATGTGATCCTGACATGTTACACTATGATGAGTCTGTTAAAATGACTACTGGACTAGTAAGATTTTGTAGATTTTTAAGACCTTTTCAGAAATATAACCTGGAAACATGAGAAGACCTACATAAAAACTGTGTTATACAATACAATTCAGTAAGGTTTTACCACTTCGTTTAGTGTCAGTAGGATACAATCCTTAAATGCCTTGCATATAATCATATACAGGAAACTACTTGTGCTCAGCAGAAGATTGTGGAGAACAGCAAAAATCTCACAAGTTAGGTGAAGGCCTGGTACCTTACCTTGCTTATATAGCAAGATAATACTGTCCTGCTGTGGAAAAACAGGTACGTCCTTCTAGCTCACTTTTGTCTATTACTTGATTTGGAATATACTATC